AACTGTCTTTGCCCCATTTCTTGTACCCATAAAGTAATTTTCAATAATCTAGAAAACTTCAAAATCATTCAGTAAATTTAATTTTAAAATTGGGTGAAAGGTAAGGGGTCAATAATAGATGAAGAAATCATTTCTTATTGTTCATACATATGGCCCCATCTCTGTAGGGTATTAGAGTAGAAATTTATTGAAGCCTGAAGTCAGAAAATAAATATGGCAACAAGGTTACATGCCATACTGCAGAGTTAGGCAATTTTTTTAAATATCTCAAGGGCACAAAAGGTATAAATATAGATTGTAGGGGCAAGGGAACAAAATAATGAAATTGTGAGATTCGGGGGCAGGTTTTACAATGGGGTGCTAAAACTTTTCCCTAAAAAATCCCTGACCAGCTGGAGTGCTGAAACTGATGTTTGACTATTGAAATATCCTAGCAGGGTAGGTTCATCAGATTTTAGCTTTGTCAACCTGGCCACTCTGTTATTACAGTAATGGCTCATTTAAATAATTTCAGGTCATTACTGTAAATGTAAATACAAAGTATTTGAAGTTAATACTGCTGTAAAATGTAGTATAATAATATTGTATTAAAGTGTAAACACGTTTCTCAAGTCTGCCCATGTGTTTCTCAATATTCACAATATTTAACTACAATTGTACAAATTCAGCTAACTATATTAACATACTGTATAAAATATATTACAGTAAATAGCCTTCGAAATATATATTTCATAGAGCTAGACAGTGTATAAACAAATAATGGGAATCTGCTAAATAATTTGTAACAATGAAATATTTCTAAACATTTTCAAATTCATATATACTGTACCTTTTTATACTTGATGGAAATCATCACAAATAGTATGTACGAGATTGGCTCCATTTTCACTGCTTCGAAATTCGAAACATCGCCTCCTCAGTGATTTACATGATGCGATATAAAAGAAGATTGATGTACATTCGACGTAATATATAAACGTAACATATTAAGAAGAAAGATTACAACAAAAAGTAAAAGAATATAAATAATCCGCGGCAATTCAAGATCCATTCGTGAACTTTTCGTCGCCCCCCTGTCTTCATTTCCACAAAGCCCGCTCGCAGGCTAATACTCCAAGAATCTTGGAGTATTTGCCTGACACGTGACCAGCGTTTACCAGGGCTATGTCGCCCGCCTTCAATTCGCGACTAGTCCTGGGTACGAGGTTGTAACATTGCCTGTTCGGACGAAGAATCAAGATTTATATACAAGACTGTGTCTACAATAATCATTAAGATATCGAAAGTGATTAACACTAAAGAATAATGGCAGCTAACGAACGTCAAATAATAAGTCAACTGACAATCGGGGTCATTAAATGACAAGGCTGTCGATCAAGGCATACTTTGTATCAATATAAATATACTGGGGTAGGTTTTCTCTTGACTTTTTAAATAAATCTTCAAAATAAATCGATGTTTGATAATTTGTTGACTAACGGACGTCTTTACATGATGCAAATGTATAACTTGTCTTGATTATATTCTGCTAGAAAATGTTTATTATTTATACAATACGGTCCATTACGTCCATAAATAACGGAAATGCCTGTGTCAGTGCTTTTCCCTAAAAGACTTTAGACAACAGTAAAGGTCAAACGAATGTTCATCACTGTTCTAGGTCCAATAATATGTAAAATTTTGCTCTTTCAAAGCAGAGTTTACAGTAAACATGAACGTTCTTATTTACTCCAAACTGCCGAAAGTCGAAAATGTTGATGTTTTGTTGGCGTGTAGTACCTCCAAAATTTACAGGCCGCAATATTTTATTTTATATTATGTAAGACCAACCTTTAATCTCACCATACAAATAATATTACATTCATAGCAAGTCTAACTTTTGAATTTTAGGGTTTTTATTTCACCCATTTTTAAGGAACTTGGAAATTTCTATTTTAGTCTATCATGAATGATGTCATTTCTATATTTAGAAAACAAATTTGAAAAATTTATAGATACCTTGTTACTTAAGACATATAAAGCTACTATTGCCTGGAAAGATTTAGTTTTATGATTATTTTTGTTTGATGTACAGAGGTTTAAAAATCAGCAAAAATCAACTATTGAGAAACAGCAAAAATTGTAATTTTTTCCCTCAACTTGACCCCCCTGGAACTTTGCCAAAATGCAATTAGACTGAAAACAAAATGCATTTTGAAACAACCCTTATAAAGGCAATCTCAACTACAAAGTTTGAGAGAAATCTATTTGTTGATCCAAAGAGGTCATGAGGTTCTTACAGAGACTGCCTCTTAAATCTAAATATACAAGAAAACTTATCCTAAGCCAAACGTAGAATCCAGACACTGATCCAGCCACACCAAACACGTCATGTTCTTTTTTCTCAATTATGTAAACAGTCACAAAACAACAATTTTGTAAACGGTGGCCAACTCGAAAGCTTCGCAGCTACTTTGGCCACTGTACACGATACAATACCATAATTAACTCCCTTTTTTCCCCCTTCCATTATGATTTTTTGTGATGTAATTAATGTCTAACTATATCTTTTGTAAACGTGTGAAATAAATTTGAATTTGAATTTGAATCAAATAGGAACAGAATAGAAAAATCCGTTCCCATTTCGTGCGTATAAGTGAAATACGACTCCATTAATATAATGTTCTATATTTACATATGAAAAAGCTGACCTTCAATATAGAGTTTATCCCGTACAAGTTTCACTCTTTTACTTTCAGCCTTTGCCTTCTTGAACTCGGGTATTAGCTTTCTTCTTGTTTCCATTATCTCCGCCGGGTATTGCTCTGAAATTCCAATATTTGTACCCTTTAATTTCTTAGCATTAGCAAGAATATGTTCTTTGTCTTGATAATAATTAAACTTTGCCACTATCGGTCGGGGTTTGTCTGTTTCCCGTCTGGGTTTACCTAGCCTGTGTGATCTATCGATCTTCACTTTTGATGATGCATCTTCAATATTAAGTTTTTCTTCCAGGAGTTTATGTATAATAGTTGTAGTGTTCTCTTCAGGTCTTTCTTCAATATTATGAAATATTAAGTTACCGCGCATTGAGCCCGTTTTGAGATCAATGATGCTATTGTGTAGCATGGCATTCTCCTTTTCTAAGCTTTCTACTCTTTTGTTGATTTTTCTCCCATTAATTTCTGCTCTTTATTATCTTTTTTCAAGTCTACTACCTCTGCGTGAGCGTATTCCAGTGAAGCTTTTACCGATTGCAAATCATCGTCCAATGATTTGACGTTCTTTTCAATCGTGTCGAGCTTTTCTAGCTTTGACATCATGGTAGGCTGGATCGATATCGCAAATACCGAATACCGATATACCGCCATCAGAATACCGGTAAATACCGGTATTCCGGTATTTTTAACGTTTTTTTTTAAGCAAAACTGAAGTGCTGACCGTCAAGAAAAATCAAGTTTTAACAAAATATTAATGTGACACATACTGTTATTAGTGCAAATGTCACAAGATTTGCATTATCAAGCTATGTTAACAATTAACAGCGCTAAGCGGCAATTATTAGTAGGCCGTCGATTGGGCGTCGAAGTGTTGAATCATTCAGAAAAATATTCGTTTTGTATATAAATTCAGACAGTGTTTCAGTAAGCGGCTAATAGTTATAAACATAAAAAACGTTGCATTTTTAAAACTAACACATAAACAAGTTAGCACGTCAGTTAAATAAGATTAAAAACAACAAAAAGTTACCCTCTTATACTGCCCGATAAAAAAACTTGAAAAGCCAGAAAAGGTTTTCGCTGCTTCGCAAATGCTAGTACTTCCACTTTCCAAAATCAAAGTTTTCCTTTTTGTCGAAATTTTCCTTTAAAAATTTTGCCATTTTTACTGATTTCCGATTAAGGCAATTTAATAAACAAGACGTCTGGTATTGCTAAACCAAAGCTGCTAGAACTGTAAGAACAAAATCATGCATCTGTGAGTATTAACTTTTTTTTCTAAACGTGATTGTAAGCAAGTTTGTCTTGAAATAGCGTTTCATTTCGATATTAGGCGGCAAAATACCGAAATGTCGGTATATCGGTATTTTTAAATTGTCAATATCGCCAGACCGGTATCTAAACAAATACCGGTATATCGGATATATCCGGTATATCGATCCAGCCTACATCATGGTCTTCATCATATCGTAAATATCGTTTAAATTTACTTGTTTTGTTTCGTCTTCTCCGTCTGTATCTTTCGTAGTGCTATTAGGTTTCAGGATTTTTGGTTTAGCTGGCTTATTGGGCGTACTATTCATCGAATTATTAATATTTTGTGCACTGCGCTTCAAACCATGTTGCTTCGACATCTTGACACTTGTTATCTGTCTATCAATCCCAGTTAACAGATGAAAAAACAGAAGAGGATTCATGCAGGGAAACAAGAAAAGTACTGGAAGAATAAATACGAAGAAGAGGCAATTAATGTGGAAGAAGATGATCACAATGATCTAAGTTCCATCATGAATTTAGTGAATACAAATGACATCCCTTCAGATTTGACCTGTCTATGGGACAACCAACAAAGGTATTTGAAAGTTAATAGAAAGGCCGGCTTCAGGTGGCATCCAAAGTAAGATAAGGTATAATATGTGGATGTACATTTTTTAAAAGTTAAGTACTATCTCCTTTTTTCCAATATTTAAATTATTCATCATGCAATAACCTTAGAAATACGAATTAAAATTATACACAAATATGATCAGCTGTATATTTTATTGTGTTATATATTAACAGGTAAATTTCACCTATAATTCTTGTTTGTAGGATTATCAGATTGTGCATTGATCTTTACTGCAAAAATCCCCAGTAGGCCATGGGCCAATGCAACCATGTGGGAAATACTTGGTTTGTGGTTTATTTGAAAGGCATATAGGTACATTACTACCAAAACAAGTTCCCAAGCAAAACACTTGCCCAATACTGAGAAAATAGGTGATCAATGATTATCCTCTATTAAGTTATATTACAGCAAAAAAATGGGAAATTTTGATTTCAATTACAATAAAAATGACTTGCATCATCAGAAAACAAGTCTTTTTAGTTATTGCCATTTTAAATGTGAAAATTGGACCAAAATGTCACAATAAGGTGTGGTTAGTAGGTCAAAAACACGTTTTTGACAGCATATAATTCGAAAAAATTTGAGATATAATAAAACTGTTTAAATGTCTTATATGTAGGTTTTTGTAAGCTTTCTGATGATGCAAGTAATTTTTGTTGTAATTAAATACAAACTTTCACATTTTCTTGCTGTAATACAATTTAATAGATAATCACTCATCACCCATTTTCTCCTTGTTGGGCAGGTTTTTTGCTTGGGAACTTTTTGTGGTAATTGAGCATCTATGGTACTATGCATTGAACCACAGAATATCTACCCCCCACAAGGTTGCCACAAAATTGCTTTTCTAAGCACTTTTTCACACAAAGGCCCACAGCCTACATGTTGTGGATCCTTTACGTAAAATCCTTATTTTTAGGTGGCTCGATACAGTTTTCAAAAATTCAGGTGTTTAACACTTCGATAGGGATCACTGCGTGGCAGAACGTCTTTTCCCGATAGCTCGAAAACCAATAACTGATGCATGGTTAACATTGTATACTTTATCGGACTTAGGCGAAATTGGGATGAACTGACTGGATGCACGTGATAACATAACTCATTGGTGCAACAAAAGTTCAATTTGGCCCCAAGACCTTTTTTTGAACCAAGCTTTTCCACAATATGCAGGAGACTGTGACAAAGTTTGCATACAGCAGAAGATTCCAACATCTGCTCCAAGTTATCAGGACAAACAATATAGTTCCCAGTTGGCTTCAAAAAGATGGAACATGCCTCATCAACTTCCTGGTCTTCGCTGCTACTATGTAGTGATTCTAGGTCAGAATTGTCGGATTCGTTAGCGCAGTTATTCACAAGTAGCTTTTTCTTGCTCTCTTCTAGCTTCTTCTTACTTGCACTCACTGTTGTTGCATCTCCTTTGGTTATCCCTGAAGCAGCTGAGTCGTTGAATTTTTCTGGCCGCTGTTGTTGTTCTTAAGAAAAACACAAACCGAAATCGCTACTGGCTAATACTTGTTTCTCATCCGCATCAAACTCCTTTCGATCCAGGAATTTTCTCCTCCTTTTCAAGCAAAACGGACTGGTATTTTTTCTCTGGCCCTTTGATTTCGTAGACATAAGGCTCACACATATACATTTGGCCTGAAGATTGATCACCAGCGTTTTACTTAGAAAGCAAATTTAACTGTGTAGTAGCGTAAATTATGACCATCCTGTTATTACAATGATATCATATGGCTATAGCTAGAACAAACAAGCCGCCCAATGTTGAATACTGCCAGAGGTGTGTAACATGCACCCTGTGGTCACACTTATCAACAACCTGTCAATCACAATTAAAACTTTCCCAGCAAAAACTTTAGACTATATAACATTTTCGGTTATATCTCGGTTGCATTTTAATATTTTCAAAAAATATTTGCAGAAATGGAAAGATCTCTAGTCCCTCGATATAAATCGATAAAAATGTAAAAAAGGACAAAATCAATGTTTTCATCATATGGAGTAACCTTAACTAGACCCGCAAAAGACAAACTACAATACAGACAAATATGAATAAAAGAATCACATCCAAGTTCGGGGCCTGAAGCTGTTAATTTGGAACTGGATCATTCACTGGGGAAACTGGTTCTGTTACCTTCACTCGTTATACTTTAGTGTGTAACTTTATTATTCTTTAAAACTCACATTTTAAACGGTATAAACTTCGAATCTTACAACTATTAATCTCTGTCTTTTCTACACAATACAATTCTCCTAATCTCAATACCGCATGCTCTGTCATGCCATGTGACGTACTTCTGGTCTATTACTACACGTAATGTTAAATTCCATAGGGTACACTCTCCCCCTCTAACGAAAAGAGTCGTCTTCGACTTGTGAATACGCGGAACTGTTTCTTCTTCTTCGACTAAGTAACGTTTCTTTTAAAATTAATTATCTTAATTAACTTCCTCTGGAATGGGTTGATCAGGCCCATCGTTACTAATCTGTCCATACATCTTCTAAACTGTTCGACATACTTAAACTTAAAGCAGTTGCTTTTTTTTTAGTTACACTAAAGCGTTAACTTTCTACTATATTAACTATAAACCATATAGATAATAATTTGTTCTATGAAATGTTTGTCTACCACAATGGTACGTTAGGAAGGGTTGGGTATGGGTTCCAAACTTGAGGTTGAGGGATCATTGGGGGAATGTTCCAGGTGCAGGTGGATAGGATGGGGTCCAGAATTGGGGTATTACCGGTGGTATTCCGTATGGTGGAGGGATTGGAGAGTTCCAATGAAATACAGGAGGTGGAGGGTGAGGTAGATGGAAAGGTTGGTTTGTGTAATCGTTGTGGACTGGTAGATACTGCTCGACTTTTTCCCCATAAACCGGACTGATATATGCTGGATTTCCAGGACCATAATATGTAAATCTTTGAGGGGGTTGTCTTCTGCGCACCACACGATTACCATCAGTTTGCACTTCTGGGTCAGGTATTATGTTTTCAGGATTCCTATCGCCATGCATATTCTCTTCAGAGACATTTGCTTGAGTGTCATTTGTGTGATCCTGAACGTCATGAACCACTTCTGGGTTCTCTTGTACTGTATCTTGCACGATATCTTCCGCAATATAACCATTCTCATTTGCAGGGTCAATTTCTAACTGAACTGGATCAGGGGTATCTGGGTTAGCTTCCATTCTCTCCGGTTGGTGAACGGTAACTCGAAATTCATCCTCGGTATCACTAATCACTGTTCAATCTTTCGTCTTCACTCTCATTGCGAGGTACACGTTTTGTAGCTCGTTGGGTTTCCGTTGTCTTTCGAGTTAATTCGTGCCAGTTTTCTAATGGCAGATGTTCACATGGAAGGAGAAGGTTTCTATGTAGCACACGATTGCGTCCCCGTCCTGTTTCAGGTCTTAACTCGTAGACTGGACTCTCGGGTCCCTTTCGTGAAACGACTATGTGTACTTCTTCCCAAAATGCTTGGAGTTTCCCCGGTCCTCCCCTCGGTGAAAGGTTTCGAACAAGAACACAATCTCCTGGTTGTAAGTCCGTATAGCGGACTTTTCCACTTCGACACATAATCTGATCGTGAATTACTTTCCGCTTTATCTGGGAAGTCAAACATTAAGTCAATCGGTAGTCTAGGACTTCTACCGAACAGTAGATAGAATGGTGAATAGTTCGTGGACTCGTGTACAGTGCAATTGTACGCATGAATGAGTTTATTAAGGTGATCTTTCCATCTTGACTTAGATGACTCTGGTAATGTTCGCAGCATGCCTAACAAAGTACGATTCATCCGCTCAACTATGCCATTACCTTGAGGATGGTACGGTGTAGTCCGAGAGCATTACGCCGGTTAATTGTTCTAATCGCTTGAAAAGATTGTTCTCAAACTCCATGCCCATGTCGTGATCAATTTTTTTCAGGACGCCAAACCGTTGTATAAAATCATTAAAAATTCTATCCGCCGCCATCACACAGCTCTTATTTTTCGTAGGGTAGGCTTGAGAATACTTAGTAAAATGATCGACAACAACTAAGATATACTGGTAACCACCGGAACTCTGTTCGAGATGTACAAAGTCAATCGAGATTAATTGGAACAGTGCAGTTGTAACAATTGGTTGTAATGGTGCAACTGTATGTCGATTGGATTGTTTTTGCTTTAAACATCAGCAGACGTGATGGATAAAATGTTCTATGTCCTTTCGCATGTTCGGCCAGAAGAATCGCTGACGTGCAAGATCTAATACTCGTTCTACACCTAGGTGTTCCATTTCTTCGTGAAGTTCTCTGTAAACCATGCGCTTAAACTTGTGGGGTAGTACCAACTGTTCTTTCTGGTATAGAATGCCGTTCTTTTTGTTCACATTTTAACTGATGCCATTTACAGAGGTACTTTCGAACTTGTGGTGTTTCTCGTCGTATTTCTGTTACAGAAGGTTTATGACTGGTCTTTAAGAGTTGTAAAACGCGAGCTATTGTAGCGTCCTCGTGTTGTGCTTTGACTATGTCCACGACCTTTAGTTTACTTGCGCCAGCAGGCATTGCCTCATAGTTTTTATCAGGCTGTAGTTCTTTCTCATCAGTGGTTACGGCTGTTATCCATTACGGCTGTTATAGTAGCTTGAATAACGTCAGGCGAAATCTTGACACTGCAACTTTCCATATACTTTTGTATATCTGGCGGTGGTCTTGATAAGCAGTCAGCATCGATGTTAACTCTACCGGGACGATATTTAATTTCAAAATTAAACTCCGACAACTCTCCGACCCATCGAAGTCCAGTCGCATTTAGCTTTGCAGATGAAAGTACATATGTCAAAGGGTTGTTGTCCGTATACACCACAAACTCCGGGGCGTAGTATAAATAATCTCTAAAGTGTTCAGTTACTGCCCACTTTAAGGCTAGAAACTCCAACTTGCCACTGTGCAGATGATAATTTTTCTCCGCTGGAGTTAATGTTCTAGACGCATAAGCAATTACACGTATTGTTCCTTGCTGTTCCTGGTAAAGTACCGCCCCAAGGCCTTCCTGGAAGGCATCTGTGTGAACTATGAAAGGCGCATTATACTATGGGTATGCAAGAATTGGAGGGGATGTTATTTGGTCTGTTAGACTTTCTAGTGCCCTCTGATGTTCTGAGGTCCACTGCACTAGATTACGAGAAGATCATACGTTCTTTTTCTCTCCAACTTTACCGTTTTCTTCCTTCAACAGATCGTAGATTGGTTTTGCTTGCTGTGAGAAGTTCTTAATATGCCTACGGTAAACACCTAGCAAACCCACCAGCTTTTGAACATCACCAACAGTAGACGGTGTTGTATGTTTCCATATCTGAACCGCGCTTGTTGCCTTCGGGTCCATGCAATACCCGTTCTGCGATACTAATCTACCAAGGAATGAGACTTCTTGTTTAAATAAGTTACATTTCTTTGGTTTAAGCTTGACTCCCCACTCTCGCAACCGTCTGAGCACTTTACGTAAGTGTTCTATGTGTTCAATGAAAGAGCTGGAAAATACGATCACACCGTCCAGGTAAGGGATACAGATCTCATCTCTTAACTCGTCGAGGCAGTGTTCCATGAAACGTTGAAAATTGGCAGGGGCATTCATTAAGCCAAAAGGGATTCTCACCCATTCATACTAACACCAAGGATTTATGAAGGCTGTGAGGTGTTGACTATTTGTTCCCATAAATCCCTGATGATAGGCCTTGCCCTGGTCAAGAACACTGAACCACGATTTGCCGCCCAAACTGTCAAGTGAATCTTGTATTCGAGGTATTGGATGTCGGTCAGGCACAGTATTTCGATTTAGTTCCCTATAATCTACACACAACCGCATTCCTCCGTCCTTCTTTCGGACACAAACGACACTACTTGAATATGGTGATTTCAACTTTTTAATAAATCCGCGATTTAAGAGATCCTCTATGTACCCTTTGACCTCGGGGTACAAGGGTCGTGGTATTGACGCATAATTTTTCTGGACAGGTTTCTCACTCGTCATAGTTAAATCCATTGTCAACTCTGGAATGCATCCCACATCATCATCATCCTTTGCAAATGATTCCCGTTCATCGTACAATAATTGTTTAACTTGTTTTAACTGTTCACCATTTAACCCAGTCAGGTCTACAGGAGGCAAATTTTCAGCACTCACATTGTCGCATTCCTGACTTTGAGTTTGATCAAAGTGCTGATTAGTAGTAGTTGCTTTAGGTTCCTTTAGCTTCACTTCTATTGGAGTTACTGAGTGAACCAGTTGCAAATGCCCTACCACTGTTCTACCAGGAAAAATAATGTCGTGATTTGTTTGATTTGTAATCTTAACGTTTATGAGTGAACAGTTCCCTTGTTTTATTGATTTAAGTTCCTCTTGTAATAATAATCCTGATGGTAATTCAGTATTGTCAATAGGTTCGAAAAGAACTGGAACAGTGCGGTTTATTGGACCAGTGTTCGCACAACAAGGTACATCAATACTTTGATTTTTCGGAATCAAAGTGTCTGTTTTGCGATATTTTATTTGACAAAGGTCATCGGGCTCATTTGCTGAAATAACATCTATCGACGCTTGTACTTTATCTCCCTTACAGCTACCAAAACTTTTCTTCATTGCATTCACAAATGTTTCTGTATCATCACTTATGCTATTTGCTTCCTTAACAATTAGTTCTATGACGTTGAATCCGATTATTGGAGGTCCAATATTCTCTTTGGTTACCAAAAACGGTACTAAAATGTCAGGTTGGGTTTCGTTTAACCTCACGCTAAGTTCAATCCAACCACAATATGGAATTGGCGTGCCATTTGCAGCTTTCAATTCAATTTTTCCTTGCACTCCTAAGAGTTCTTCCACATTTCTAAGTTTCCTTGTCAATGACTGTTTATGCATGAAAGTTTCTGAAACAATTGAGACTTGGGCACCAGTGTCCCACAATGCAGTCACAGCTTGCCCATCTAAATGACAGTTTACGGAACAACTTATTCCCTACTAGCTGTGTAACACGAGTATGTTGTCTAGGTGACAGGTGACTTGGATAAACCTGATTATCTGAACTGTCTCCCGGGGCAACATAGTTAGCTTCTTGCTCAAGCTTTTCCAGCATCTCAATGGTCTTGCATAAGTTCCTATGCTTTGGCCAGTGTTGTCGCTGACAGTTTTTTGAACAATATAGTATAGATTTACACCGTGAACACACTGCAACATTTTACTTGTTAATACTGTGTCTGATCTTGCACAATTACTGCATTGGGAC